CCGAAGTTAGAAAGGCCTACTCCAAGTTCTCTCGCCAGGCCGCAACAAAGAATTAAGTGTTTCGGTGCAAATCATATAGGCATATCGTGCATCTCCTTAGGGATATCAAAGACTGCTGGTACTCTTGCAAAAGCCTGCAAAAGAAAAATATTTTGGAAATCCTCGATGCCAACAACACGAAGTTTCTGTGGATACAGTGCCAATAGCACGGCGATTCAGCAACATGACGCTTCAGTTTGACATAAAAAGGCATCGGAAGCAGCACAACAGTCTAGTTTAGCATGCCAGGTATCGGTGCCCATAGCACCAAGCTTTAACTTGGGGCAAACTTTTGGTCTTGAACAGCGATCTCCATTGCTCAAAGTTGCAAATTTGGCTTCTCATGCTGGTGGAGTCCTTCAATATGGATTAACTAACTCTGAATAAAGAAGCAATGTAAAGCACATGTTGAAACAAGTTAAAATCTGTATACAAAGATTGTTAGCTGTAAAAAAAAGGACAATCTAAATAAATGTTGATCTGCCGAAAAGAAAATCTGTCAAGCTTGGGTCTTTCAGTTCTTTGTGGCTAAAGCTCGTAAAAGTGCTACTGATCTAATTTGCTACTCTCCACACAAGGTTGAATGTTGATCGCATGCTTCGATGAGTTACTGCTTTTACATTGTAATGCTACTAATCATCAAAAGTTGATGAAAAAATTTTCTTCCTTCTATTAACTAAGAAATATGAATATATAGCATGAGGTATCTGTCTTTTTATAGGAGTTGCGCAAGAAGGAATTTATCTTTTAATAGGAGAAGAATTTTCATCAAGGAAGAGTTTACATTTGAAGAGGAGTATGTTATTGGAATAAAGCAAGAAAACGAAAAAATTGCTACTAATGAGGGGGCACTTACAATGCTGAGAATTTAAAGTGGAATATTTTATCCTATTACTACATGTCAACAGGAGATAAATATGAAATTTTCAAATGTGGCCCAAAGTGGATGCCTACGTAGTGTCAAAAGAAAATGTCCAACAAAATTTCAAATTAAGATGGCTTACTGCCAATTGCCGCGCTTTGAATTGAAGACCATTTTTCTTTTTTTTGGAGTATAAAACACCATATCCCAGGTTACACTCGTCCAACAAAAGGTCCTTGCTTGAAAAGTGTTATCTCTGCTCGGAAAAAAGTTAGATCTTTGTTTGCGGCATTTCTAACTATTCGGTTAGCGTCTTTCACTTAATGAATCACGCGTTTTATGTTTTATTTACTGGTACTTCAAATCTTGTCTTCAAGCCTCGGTAATTCACATTACGACAAACCTTAAAGTAGGGGCACCTGTAGACGTATCAAATTTATTGAATTTAATCCATACAAAATTTGGATTGAATCTTAATTCTATTGGATTAAATAATTAATTTGGACTTTACAAATTAACTTAGTCCAAGTTTACTATTTTCAAGCCCAAGATCTATTTCGTCCTAAGGTCCAGACTCATGCCATGTGTCAAGTGACATAGCATTTTCCAGTCGAACTCAAAGTCAACAAAATGACGCCACGTGTGAAACGATGTGGCAATCCCAGTCTAAAACAGTGACCAATCAAGAGTTGCCAAATGTCTAAAATGACATGTCTTGGCCAATCACAAATAAGCTTATCACATGGCTTATGTGATAAGTTTGATGACTTACCTGAGCCAATCAAATCAAGCAAGAGAGTTCATGTATAGCCGGACTTAGGGGCGTTCATGGTTCGGTTTGGGTCGGTTTTTCCCTAAAAGGAAATCAAACCAAGTAAGTCGGTTTTTCAAATATTGGAACCAAACCAAACCAATTAAGTCGGTTTTTTATCGATTCGATTTTTGTCGGGTTTTCGGTTTTTTCGGTTATTTATCGATTTTTTTCTTAAGTATGAGAAATACACTACCAAACGCGTATTCCGGCGACTACATTTTCAACATAACACTATCAAATCAATTGCTCTTTGAGAAATCTATCATTTACCAAGGTATATTGATGATAATTGAATCAAATAGTGATGAATAATTTAACTACTCAATTAAAAATCGATTATTTTTAACAAGATATAAATTCTTGTACTTAGAAAAAGAAAACTACCAATCAAACTAGAATGTAAAGGCAACGAATTAGATTATTAAATAGCAAAGAACTAGACTAAAAATATAAATGACTAATATGTACCATAAAATTTTAGAAACTTTATATAAAAATACACATATATATAGGTGTAATAATAAATTTAAATAGCTACTTTTATAGTCGGTTTGGTTCGGTTTTTTTCGGTTATTTTTTAGTAAAACCAAAACCAAACCAAATTCAATCAGTTTTTAAAATTCAAAACCAAAACCAAACCAAACCTAAGAAGTATCGGTTTTTTGGTCGGCTTGGTTTGGTTTTCGGTTTGGTTCGATTTTCGGGTTTTTATGAACACCCCTAGCTGGACTGTCCATCCTCTACTACTATAAATAGAGAAGTTACATAACTCTCCGGAGGAGATTCAGGGTCGGAGAAGAGCATTCCGGAATTGGTGAAGGCATCCACAAACAGAGAAATCAATCATCAAGTGCATAGTTCTTCAACAAAGGAGTGATCAACGGAGTTTTTCTCAGAGATCAACCCGAAACAGCAAAGTACTCGACGTTCTTGGCGATTAAATACATCACAAGGAGGCCTGCATCGTCCTACATTCGAGAAAGACGCTTCTCAAGCCCTTAAATCAGTGAGAATTTCAGAGAGGAGAATCAAGGGATACATAGAATTGTACTCACAAATATTTATCAATAAAATCTCTTTTTTCTTCATAGTATTTTTGTTGCAGTTTATTTTTCCTACTAAGAATATCCGGTGTCATTTCTACTATTATTAATGAAGCTGAAGTTCTTGATAGGATTGTTGAAGCTCAACATTGTTCTGATGCCGTGAAACTAAATCAAATCATGGAGAAAACTTACTATTGAAGCTGAAGTTGAAGACTACAAAGCTATTCTAGTAACGGAAACTTTAACAAGTGCTTAAGGTGATAGATGAAGGACAAAATTAGACCTACTCCCAAAGATACGAGATAATTTTGGCTATAAACTCTCTACCAAACCATCAAACAGCTCTGAGTACTATCATGTGCCTGAACAATTCTAACAATAAAACACGGATGGCAACAAATGAGGTAATCAACTACCATTGGATGTGGTGGGATGGATAGAATCTCCTCATACTTAATCAGAGGTTTCGGTTTTGAGTCCTGAGGATGGATAGGCTTATGATAGGAAATGCTTTCCCCTTTGATGGATCATACGCGGGATGAATCCCAATTTATCTGGCTAATGTGTACCAGATACCGAATGAGTTAAACCAAAAAACAAAACAAAGTAATCAACACATACATAGATGCCTACTTCCACATTTTGAAAAAGTAAAATATTTTAACAAAGAACCAAAACAACTCAAACCAGATTTGTGCACAAAATCTTACTGGAAGTAATAGATTTTCAAGGTCCAATTTCTTATAGGCAAAAGGATCAGCTAATGTTAGTGACAAAGTAAATCTCTGGAAAAAGATGGCTTTAGACAGTTAAAATATGGCTAATAGATAAGAGTTGTATTTACAACCACATAACAGGAAGCCAAGAATCTAAAAATGTGCACTAGAAAACCTACTGCCTACACTTTGTATGTCACATGCAAAGAGGCAAAAGCTGTAACATTCTTGATCGCACAGTTTAACTTTGAAGATACAATTCGCTTTTTCTACTTCATGCCGGGGGTGAGGCAGGTTTGATAGGGTTGATCTTGGGTAAAATTCAATAGCCAGATTTACAACTGGTCGTTCAAAAATAGCCCAGTTTCAAAAGTAATCGAAATTTAGCTACTTTTCATGTAAAAATAAATCTGAGCGAAAACACTGTTCAAAATCCGAAAAAATACGCCAGTATATTATGCTGGAGTTCCAACATAAGTATACTTGAACTCCAGCATATTATACTGGAGTTCCAGGATAAGTATGCTGGAACTCCAGCATAATATGATGGAGTTCCAGCAAGTATACCGGTCCAGCATAATATACTGGAGTTTGGAGCACCGGTGCTCCAGACTCCACTATATTATACTTGAGCCAGCAAAGTATACCGGTGCAGCATAATATGCTGGAGTTCATACACAAGTGCACCGAACTCCAGTATATTATGCTGGACCAGTCTCTGTTGCAGCAAAATAGTGGCTATTTTTTATTGACTTGGTAAACGCTGGCTATTTTATGATTTTTATGCTTCTATTACTATTTCTATGGTTTCTACTAACGTTGCTGATGAACTGTCTCTTCTTGTTTATTTCCGTCTTCCTGAGCCGAGGGTCTATCGAAAACAGCCTCTCTGCCCCATCGGGGTAAGGGAAGGTCTGCGTACACACTACCCTCCCCAGACCCCACTTTGTGGAATTTTACTGGGTCGTTATCTTGTTGTTGTTGTGCTTCTATGCTAAAGGAGAGGCAGCACCAAACAACCAAATTGTTTTAATTTGTGATGTGGCATTGATTCATTGAAGCTGGCATATGGAAGCATCCCACCTAAGGAAGAGGAATCACGCACATCCTTCAACAAGATCAGATGGAATCTGATACATTGACTGAAAGAAGTCCTGGCTGAAAGGAAAACATACATATTATTCCGACATTGAAAAGTATGAATATTTAAGAGCCTTAAAATACAAGGAGCCAAAACAATATTTACAACGAAGAAGCTATGCACACAGCAAGATAGACACAGAGATGCAACTTTAAAGATACAACCAGAGAACCTCTAATATACTCAAATTTATGAAGGCCGCCATCTTCACAAGTAAGATGATCCGTCATCCAACCCAGTAACTGATACCATGGAAATTCAAGGCAAGAGGTTCGTTTGCATTTATTATGTCCGTAACTGGAAGGTCCCTCAGAAAAGAATAAGAAAATAGATGAGCCTCTAAAGAAAGTACAGAATGTGAACAGGATATCAGTATCAAAAGTGATGAAATACCCTGTGATTTCTATAAAGGAATGGCAATCCAAAATCGAAACCATATTACAAACTGAAAAAGTGCAAGTGAAATACATACACTTTCAACATTGAGTAGGTACAAGAGCCACAAAGCCGCTTAGAACGGTAAAAGGAAATACAAGAGGGTGGAGACAATCCTCTGGCTCGAACTAATAATTTTTACTCCTTTATAAAAGCAAAAGTACAAACCAAGATGAACAGTTCACAGGATTGGACTAAAAGAAAAGCTAAACCAATCAGATAAGTTCATTGCATGTCATATAGGATAGTGTTCTTTTGATAGATAAGCAAGAAAATCAACATGCCACACAGACAGTAGTATGACATCCTTTCATAGATGTAAACAAACGATCATCGAAAAAGAATTGGAATCTTGCACAGGTGTATGGAAAGTGTCGCATGAAGGTATCTCGAGGATCGTTCACCTGAAATGAGTGGTGCATTCTCTAGCCTGATAATTGCTGCCCTTACAGCTACAATCTTGTTCAATTTCGAGTTGTACTGCTAAATGTATACGAGAACTAGAACCTGAAATATGCAATGATGCAGGATTTCAGCAGATTCTCAGGGTATCACGAATAGACATAGACAATACAGTTTTCAGCAGACATGGACCAACCGTTGAGGTTGGTAAATTTTCTTACATCTCCCTCTCCGAGAGCCCAAAGTAATTCTGTCTTCTTCTTTTTCCTGACCTTAAGCTTCTATTATTGGATGATGGTGTTCTAAATTTTTATTGAAAGGACAAACCAAGGTGCAATTATTTTGCTTTTGCAACATTGCGTTGCTTTTAAACAAAATTATTGAGCCCTTGTATTTTGCTGAAGACAAAATTGAATTATTTATGAAGTGATCTTTTTGTTATATCTAACTTTTCAAATTAATTTATTAGAATTTTCAGAGAATTTATTTGTTTTACTATTGTGCCTATATGAACTAGCCCACAAATTTAAATGTTAAACAGCACTGCTTGTATACTTTATAGGCATAATAGGTGTTAGAAGTAAGTCATAAACTCTACTCTAAATCTCTTGCACATATCTGCGCTTAAGGCAACAAGACATGATCTCTATACAACTTAGTATTGTCATAATCAAATCAGATCTCTTTGTCCTGTACTTGATTACCTATGTTGTTATTTTTGGGAGTCTAGGCTGATTACACCAGATAGAACTAGCCGACCCTCATGGAAGTAGCTTTAAGTCTCCTCTCAACAGTTAAGAAACCTATTGTCCTTTAAATAGAAGGAAAACTATACCTCCTGTTTGGCTACATATTCATCTGTAAAGCAACACAAACAACTACGCCTCAGTTATAAACAAGTTGGGTTCGGCTATATGAATCCTCATTGACCATTGTTAAATAGTTAGTAATGTATAATGTCCCACACCGGGAAGTAGACACCTATTAGTATGTAATCAATGTATATAAATAGGCCATCGTACAACACTTTAGAATTAATCAATAGTATATTTTTCCCCGTGCTTTCTCACATGGTATCAGAGCGACCGTGAGAACTTTATCGCTGTGCATAAATTCCAGAGAGAAATCAGTCAACCTGAAACCTTGTTTCCGGCAAAAGAAAGCAGGTTTGTCCGCAAAAACAATAGTATCCGTCAGTGTTGAGTAAAAACCAATACCACCACGACGTAGATCAGCCTTCGGCGACCAACCCTCAAAAAAAACTCCGGCAGAAAGGTAACCACGCGCCGCCGGAAGAATTTCTCCAGCGATCCTGCAAGATATAGGCGGCTGGTTGGTAAATTAAATTACCTCACAGTGACTAGACCTGACATTTCCTTTCCTGTGAGTGTTATAAGTCAGTTTATGGATTCTCCCTGTGATAGTAATTGTGATGCAGTTGTTCGCATTATTCAGTATATAAAGTCAGCTCCAGGCAAAGGATTACTATTCGAGGATCGAGGCCACGAGCAGATTGTTGGGTACACAGATGCTGATTGGGCAGGATCACCTTCTGATAAGCGTTCTACGTCTGGATATTGTGTTCTAGTAGGAGGTAATTTGGTCTCTTGGAAGAGCAAGAAACAGAATATAGTTGCTCGATCTAGCACCCAGTGTTGTAAAGAGCGTGAAGCGAGGAAAAGCGACAAGCCCCTTTTCGCTTAAAGTGTGAAGTGAGAAGCGAAGTGCTCGCTTTTTTGAAGTGAAGCGGAATTTTTAAAAAATATGGAAACCAAAAAAAGGCAGTAAGAACTAAGAAGAACTGAAACAAAAAAGAAGGCAATACGTAAGAAAAAAATTGGGCAGCATTTCGCTGCAATTTAAGACAAAAACAGTGAGAGAAGGAGAAGGAGAAGAAGGAGGAGGAAGAAGAAATCACATACTTGGGCTTGAACTTAATCAAATTGAACTTGAAAAGTGCTGAAAATGGAAACCCTAGTCGCTGTTTTTCTCTGCTGCTAGATGATGTTTTTGAAAAACGATAGTTTTCTTATTTTATTAACGTTGACAGCCACTAAATATAGTGAAGCGCTCGCTACTGTCGCTTCTCACTTCAGTCGCGCTTCTCGCTTTTTTGGCAGAAGCGCACGCTTCATATCACCTGCTTCGCTTCACCACAGAAGCGACCATGTGCCCCCCTCGCTTCGCTTCGCTTCGCACTTTAAGCGCTGAAGCGAGCACTTTCACAACACTACTAGCGCCGAAGCAGAATATCGGGCCATGGCCATGGCAACATGTGAGCTAGTTTGGGTCAAGCAGTTGCTCAAAGAGTTGAAGTTCGGAGAAATTAGCAAAAATGGAACTGGTGTGTGATAATCAAGCTGCTCTTCATATTGTGTCAAATCCGATGTTCCATAAGAGGAATAAACACATTGAGATCGATTGTCACTTAAATAGAGAAAAGATACTCTCATGAGATATTGTTACAAAGTTTGTGAAGTCGAATGATCAGCTTGCAGATATTTTCACCAAGTCTCTTACTAGTTCTCGTATTAGTTACATCGGTAACAAGCTCGGTACATATGATTTATATGCACTGGCTTGAGGGGGAGTGTTAAATAGTTAGTAATGTATAGTGCCCCACATCGGGAAGTAGATACCTATTAGTATGTAATCACTGTATATAAATAGGGCATTGCACAACACTTTAGAATTAATCAATAATATATTTTCTCCCGTGCTTTCTCACAATCATGTTACTCCATATAAACTTCTCAAGCCAATATCATACAAATAAAATATAAATAAAATAAAAAGTACTAAAAGTTTTTTATATTTTCTATTGACGTGTAAATCTCTAAGACGCTAAACAACTCCTAGAAAAATATAGGATGTAAAGTAACAATATTGACATAACCAAAACATATTCTCAACTAATAGGCATTGTCTATGTAACAGTGTTATCAAAGGCTCTCATTTGAGGCTCGCTTAAACCCTGCTGAAGCTCAGGATAGGCGCCTCACCTCACTTAGGTCGCGCTTTAGTGTAGGCAAGCATTAAGACATGCACCCCATTGACCATATGTTCTATTTTGAATATAGCGGTACTAAACGATAAATAGGAACATCAAAAAAGATATATTAATTGTTAAGGTGATCATTAAGAATGAAGGTGTTACTTTTTTCTTGCATTACACATAATTGTGCAATTACATCCCATACTTCGATTTTGCTTTGTACTTAAATCCTTGATAGATCATAGACCTAGAGGGCTTTTTAACGCTTTTCGCCTGCGACAACAGTGCTATATAGATTTATTTCTTCCATTGTGCAATATTTTTCGCTTAGTCTGCAAGGATCCCAAGATATTGGAGATCATTCGAGACAACTTCCTTCCAAGTGATTTTAGGTCTACCTCGTCCCCTTTTAATACCTTCACTTATCATGGTTTCACATCTATGGACCAGTGCATCTAGTGGTCGGCGCAAGACATGCCCAAACCATCTCAAACGACTCATTTTATCGCTGATATGTGCTACTTGAACCTTCTTGCAGATGTGGGCATTTCTAGTCTTGTTTAGAAATTCTCAGAAAAATTAATACTTTTTCCTGAATCAGGTTAAATGTTCTACTATAAACTACCATAGAAAATCAAAGCTTAATAAATGGAAGTATCTCCAATATTATCATCTAAGATATCATGACCATTTGCAGAATCTTACTTTTGAGAGGAAACAAAAGAAAAACCTAGATAATAAAGTGTTATAAATTTGTCTCACAGCAGAAAGATTGTATCAGAAATAGAATTATTTGAGCTTCTTCGACGAGTTCTTTTTGTCGTTTCAGAGTCATAATCCAGCCACAAAAGACTAGCCTCAAAAG